ATTTTGAGGATACAATTTTAAAGGAATTCCGAGGATAATTACAAGGGCATCTCGAAAAGAATGTTAAGAGAATTTTCAGAAAAATTTAGAGGAGAAAATTTTAAAGATTACTCTGATAGGAATTCTAAGGAAAAACCAAGTGAATTTTAAACAAAATTTAAAAGGGAGCTTCATTTAAAAAACTTTAAAATTCAACGAGAATCAAAGGACGGTTTTTTTTTAGTTTTGCAGTGAATTTCTGGACTGTTATCAAAACTTTTTCAAGGGATTTCCAGATAACTTTGAAATTATCTCAACAGTTCAATTTTTCAAAGTGATAGAATCCTAATTTCTTTCTAATTTTAAAAGCCTTGAAATGTCATTCGACAGCCATTACTCGTATTGATCGGACGTGTGCTTTTTCTGTTCTGGTTAACTTGGTGAAATATTGTAGCAAAAATGAGTGTAGTTCGTAAAAACACACTTGTTGTTGACTTCAGTGTCCTTCCAGTTCGTCCCAATGCGGGAAAAGTGCAAAAATTCTTCGAGAACAATATTCAATAGCTTCAATATTCGGACGTTAGATGCATTCAGTTTCATAACGTCCGAAATTGTGTTTTTATTGAGATGATAGACAATGAAGTTGCCTTGCGCTTCGCGTTTCTTCGCTTTTCTCTTGGCGAAGAGTGAGTTCAAAATCCCGGTATATGTGGATTGTGAAGCAGTGACCGTTCGAGCAACAATCAATACGAAACCAACGATTTTAAATTGGCTCACTACTTGACTAGCCTATTGGTCCCAAGCAAACGATTAACGTACCCCATTCTAGTCGAAATTCTAGTACTACGCAATGTTTGTTTTGATTCGCTTTGAAAGTTTGACAGATAAAATGAGGGGTTATTGGTTTTTCCTATGTTTCGAGGGGTGAATCGATTAGCTTGGGACCGAAGAGAGTACCAGAGCTGAGCCAAAAAGTTGAGCCCATTTCTTCGGGACCTTCTGGTCTTAGAGTTACCTCTATGATAGTACCATAGAGGTAACTCTAAGACAAGTAGGTCCCGAAGAAACGTGCTCAACTTTTTGGCTCACCTCTGGTACTATCTTCGGTCCCAAGCTTGTCGAATCACCCCTCGAAACATAGGAAAAACCAATAACCCCTCATTTTATCTGTCAAACTTTCATAGCGAATCAAAACAAACATTGCGTAGTACTAGAATTTCGACTAGAATAGGGTACGTTAATCGTTTGCTTGGGACCAATAGGCTACTAAAGTGGTGCGCCAATTTAAAATCGTTAGTTTCATATTGATTGTTGATAGTACCATAGAGGTAACTCTAAGACCACTGGGTCCCGAAGAAAATCATTATTATTTTTGGCTCACTCAGTACCAGAACAACGGTCCCAAGCAGTCCCAAGCTATTTCACTCACCCCTGCATGTTCTGCATGAATCCACATACCCCTGATGTTATCTGTCAAACTTTCATAGCGAATCAAAACAAACATAGTGTAGTAATAGAATTTCAACTAGAATAGGGTACGTTAATCGTTTGCTTGGGACCAATAGGCTACTAAAGTGGTGAGCCAATTTAAAATCGTTAGTTTCGTATTGATTGTTGATAGTACGTTTTATTTGAAAAAATAGAAGCGGGAAGGGAGGCGAGAGGGCCTTATAAATAAAAAAGCCTTGAATTGTATCAAGGTTCAGTTCATTGATTTTTTTTTTGACGTAGGACTACGTCTTTGATTTCTATATGGGGGTACACTTTGTGAAAACCGAAAATGGAACATGTAACAAATTAAGAAAGATTTTGAACGTTAATAACTCAGCTTCCCCTGGTCCAATTTCAATAATTTTATCACCAATCGATGAGAAATATGGCAACGCATCGATAACAATGCTTTCGAATGTTGATTTTCAAAAGAAACTATTGAAAAACTGGTAAATGTCCAGCATTGTCCAAAAGCGTCGAATTAACTAACAAATCTACCAATTACCTACATGCATATGCTGCTTCCCCAGCACAGTCATCAGAGAGTAGTAAGTAGACGACACAAGTCGAAGTGGCATTCGCCTCCGATCCTCGGGCGCGTGCGAATAGGGAGGATGGAATTGCGTAATATTTTGCACACTCATCGCCATACTCAGAACCACACGCTCCCAACGACCACTCCACTGTGTGGTGGTGTTCGGTCGTCGAAATTAGTAGCAGCAGTAGCAATGCTTTCGGCGTGTGGCATTGAAAATTGTTCTCCAGTAACAACGAAAGGCTGCTTGCAAGCAGCGAGCTGCAGAGCCCACATAAGCCACCATCAAAGGAGGAAAGCTGCACCGCTATGCTATGGATCGGAATCAGTAGCTTTTCGTGAGTCGCTGCGGGTCGGTCATCTATGCCAAGCGTGTCACCCTCGCTCCAAATGACATACAGCTCGACAGCCTTGGGTGTATATTCAGTCCCCAGAAAGCCAATAAAATCAAATTTGTGAGAAAATTAGCTCTCACGAGTTCAATCTCTCGAAGTCCCTCCTTTTTTACATATTCTGCAAAAAAGATACATTCATATAATTCAGAAGGAAATCCTGTGAGGGGTGAATTGAATACACTTTAATACCAAAATGCACAAAACTTAAACATTCGTAAATAACAAAAAAATCAAAATACACCTTTTAAAGTCGGGTTAATGAATCGAAAATACTCAAGTTGACAGTCCCTTGGATTCTCTTTATAAACTTTCTCTTTGAAATAAATACTACAAATTTGATACGCTTACAAATTAAAAACGGAAAGAGTTAAGATAATTGATGATTGATCAATTAAAAGAACTACGTCAAGCTTCCGTTCGTGCCCCTAGGCACAGACCCTTCTACTTTTTCAAATTTGAGATCGTGGAAATTGCTGTTTTAAATATTTTCATTGGTGTCAACATTTTGTAGATTTTTCTTAGTCCATAATTAAAGAAAAAAAAGTCTTGGTTCAAGATCCTTGATATCAACTTTTTAAACTTTAAGATTTCTAGGAGAACTTCTAAGTTAAAGGTTCAATTTACTTTGAAGCATTTTCGAAACATTCAAAAACAGTTTTTTTCGATGCATCATTTCTTTTGCTATTTTACACAATGTTGTATTACCAACAATCAATACGAAACTAACGATTTTAAATTGGCTCACCACTTGACTAGCGTATTGGTCCCAAGCAAACGATTAACGTACCCTATTCTAGTTGAAATTCTAGTACTCCGCAATGTTTGTTTTGATTCGCTATGAAAGATTGACAGATCAAAATGAGGGGTTATTGGTTTTCCCTATGTTTCGAGGGGTGAATCGATTAGCTTGGGACCGAAGAGAGTATTTTGGGACCTTCTTGTCTTAGAGTTACCTCTATGGTATTACGCTGTTGAATTATCCGGATTTTAGTTTCACCTTCCACGCAGTGGAATCAGGACTAACATTTTGTGTCTGTTGATATACGCCACCTTTCTAGCTTCCCCTGTGGCATTAAGTACACCACAACCTTCCCAAATGTATCGATCTTGCACAGGAAGCCCTTATTCCCCAGTCCATCGTAGAACTTCTTTTCCTTTAGGCTGAGCAACCACTCGCGCGTTTTGGATCACAAACTACCCCTCTCTAATTCCATTTGAGTGGATTTTTCGGAAGGGCATCAAACCAGTTGAATTGTAGAATCACATAAAAATTTAAATTGGCAGTGGAAAATAAAACATCTGTGAACCCAGTGCAATAGCAAACAAAATGAACAACAAACAAATGATACCATCGAAACACATGGAAAACCATTGATAACAAACGAAACGAAAGACAACCAAGGAATGTACAAGGAATGTTTCTTTCAGGGCGATGGTAAAATAATAAACAGAACCAAATAAAACGAACTTATAAAAATGGTACAAAAAGCATTTTTTTTGTTTAAGATCAGCGCGCAAAAAGTGCAATATACATATACAATAATTTACAATTCCTATAAAGTTGCCCTCGTCACTAAGTTACTAAAACGGTTCAGTAATTGTTGTCGCATTCTTTTTTTTTCAGTACAGTGTTTTTTACGTTAGCAAAGTTCTACGCTCATTTAACGCACAGAAAAATTAATACAGTTAAAATGTCACAATGTATGTTTATGTGTGTATGTGTGTGGGCTGGGTGCCTCTCTCTCTCTCTCTCTGCGTTAATGTTATATACTTGATGAAACTAGACGAATAATAATACACATTCTAAAGAGTCTTAATTAAAAATAAGCAGCTAATGGGTACGATTCGAACACATTCATCTCAATAAAAATAAAATAAAATAAGAGTTAAAAAATAGTGTCGCGTAAACAAACAAAAAAAAAACACATATAAAATCTAACCTGTAACACAGATAAATGCACTGGGACACAGTTTACAGCGTTCTTTTCGGTTTTGGTTAGCAGAACAGTTTGATTCCAATTTAAAATATAGGCTAAACTATAAGCAGTTTGTGTTTGATTTGTCGTCAAGGTACATTCGATATTTATTAGAGAATACTCTTGCTGTTTTGAGGGGGGGAGGGGGGGGGGTGATTTTGGTTTGGAGAGAGCCTTCGTTTGAGTTCTGAACCACAACAGAAGAAACATTCACCAACCACACCAAAATATGTACTAGTCTTTCGTTCGCACTTTGAATTGGAACCTATGTAGAGATAGCAAGGTATGGGGGGGGGGGGGGTTTAGTTTTAAGGAACGTTTTGGGGTAAATTATCCTATGGTTGGATGCGCATTTCTATAGTAGGTATTCAAAGTATGTAAGGGACCTAACGTATGTGTTCTACCTTTTGCATCAGTTTTGTATTGGTTCATCGTAAGAAATCTACGGTTGATAGTTTCTCTCTCGGTGAGCTGGGTTATGTTGAGATTGGTTCTTTTGGGAATAAGAGGGGGTGGTTGTGGCAACAGTGGTAGACGTGCGGTATTTTTTTTTAATCAGGAAGCTACTGTGAAAGTTGTCTGACTGGTACTAATTAAAATTTTGACCCTCAAAAGTCATTTGAGTTCGCTTTGAAACTTATAATTTGTTATGACTGTTCTCTGAACTTTCCGATAGCACAGATTTGAAACTGACTACTCGAAAATATGGGATAAATTTGATGGATAATATTTTGTCTTATGAAGAAATGTGCTACCATGACGTCTGGACTTAGCTTCTCTAGATTTACTCTTTTCTGGATATGCCTCCACATTTATCTAAACTTTCCACGGGGCCCTGTGGACACATATAGGACGTACTCTATAAGCTTGTCCTCGTGATAACCTGAAGTTCTACCGGAGGAATCAAAGTAACGAATCCGAGCGTATCACACTCTGAAAGTGTCTGCCATCGTCGTGCTTCGAAAAACAGTTGACTAATGCGATTGTGATTAATAAACTTGGACAAAAATTACAAATACACACTTGTCTACCACTGTTGTTATATAATAATTCGGCAGTACTTTTTTATCTCGTTCTTGTTCGCAAAAAAAAAAACAATATTCAATTGAATCCTAATTGAAAAAGCTGCTGCAGAAAGTAGATAAATAGGGACCTGTACTGTTTTACCTAGATACAGAAAAGGCAACATGTTTACACAGTTTCAAAGTTACAAAGACACGAAAATGGACACAAAAACACCTAACTAAAACTAAAAACATAAATATTAGTACAGATAATATCAGATTTGCTTAGCTCCTGTCGCACTCTGTCGACACGCTCACATTTACACTTTATACACAGTTTCTGTTTGTTTTAGCCTGCTCCTTGAATGAAACAAAAAGCATGGCGCCCGGAAAAAAAAATAAAACATTCATCGCTAATATTGTATACGTCAGGGGAACTGTATGTAGAATTTGATTCCGAAGAAAGCCTAGGGGTACACTTTCAGATACAAAAAAATAATACTTACACATTGCATGTCACAAAATGTCCAAGGGCAATCGAAAACCTACGATCCATTTGTTTTCCTTCACAAAAAATACGTGCACAAAAACACTCATCCAGAAACAAACAAACAAATTTAATCACTGGGAAAGCTAATGGAGGAAAGCCTGTCGCAACTTTGCACCCATCGATCGATTCAACATTGGTTTTTCGTCCAACTACTAACACTATAAAATCAAACGAGATTCGATCGTCTACCGTGGTCTATGTCGTGCTCTTTTTTTGTGAACTTGAGTATCAATATCTGGGAGGTTGTTTTTTTTTTTTGGGAGTAAACGAGGACTCGAAAGGTGGGGAATGTGTGGCGATAAATATTGGTTTCCGTTTTCGTTTGCTTGAGTCGATTAGTTAGTAATTCCTTTTTACAAAAAAACTACTACTACTACTACTACACATGATCCTCGTCCATTATATCGCTTCAATGGTTCACAATGGTAGCTTTTGCTTAAACATTTGTTTTTTTTTTTTTGTGTGTGAATACTTTCAGGAAAAAGCACGAGCACGACTTGGTAGCTTGATCTAGCCATGGAGACACTATGCGCACTTCCTACCGGAGCCGATAACTGGGTTTAAGGTCAGTATGCTGATTTTCTTTCCCTTTGTTTGTAGGCGTGTCTGCGAGCGATGATCATGGTTCCTCCTTGTTTGCCTTCACTAAAGTTTAACACAGTATGATAAATATAACAAGACCCTAGTTTACCATCAAGGTGTGCGATTCCATTGGCGCCGCGGAATCGTACAGCGTGTCGGTGTCCTGCGTGGGTTCGCCCTGCAGCTGACATTGGTTGGTGAGGGTACCAGCACCACAATCACAGAAGAATCTGGAAATGGAACAGGGAGAAGGTGCTGTTACTAAAAATAAGCTGTTAGGCTAATAACGGCGTCTATCTAAAATGCTAAAGAGAGCTTCATAAAAGTCGGTGATCTAGATGAAAGGTGTCGACTCAACGAAGAAAACAAAATTCCCTGATTTTCCAGTAATTCTCAAAAAAATTCAGGTGCAGTACCTAACCGGTTTTGGCAACACAACCCCATCAACTATAACTTTCCGCAGAATATATTGGTGCTTCACGTACATTTTTTTTTCAAAAATACCACACGGACCTCTAACCCATGAAGAGTGGTCCAGTACAATTTCAAATTAAATAAAGCGTTCCATACATTTTATAGATTGCAAAAAAGACAGAAATCTCATGTTGCCAAAAATGGGAAGGATCGGTCTTCTACCAAGGGGCATAAATTCATCCAAATCTTCAAATCATCTTCATCGTGACCAGCAAATCTCTATTAGCAATTTTCTAAAACAGCAGCACCTTTGCTGGATCTTGAATTTGGATCTGCGACAGGTCCGAAGTCTTCACAATTTGTGTACGAAAATTTCGCTCAAAACATTACAGGCTTTTATTTGATTGTTCTCAAGCCTTTCCTTTAGATTAATTTAATGTTTCTCGTTATTTACATTCACACTTTGAACTTTATAGATCCACAGTGGACTAATATTTCTTCTTTGGAACATGCATATTTCCTAAAAATTTTAAATTTGAACTAGTTCTGGACTTAAAAGCTATAATATTTCAAGAAATTTTCAAGAATCTGAAGTCAAAATCCATGCACAGTTTTAAAAGCTCGTTGAATTTTATTATAATTCCTAAGGACCTAATTTCAAGGAAGTTCTTTTTTTTTTATTGGGTATCAAGCTGGAGCTGCGTGACAGCTTAGTTTTCAAGACTTGACCCATTTGAACAAATTTTGCTTCTATCTTTGACAATACAGCAGAAGGACTAGCTTATGTTGACCGCTTGAACACTGGATTCCGTATGTATTGTTTCAAGATAGTTTCTACTTATGTACTACTGAGCTTTGTATTAAATTAGTTAATAAAGAACGTATCAATCATTTCAAGATTTCGCGACCGCACCGAACAAATTCTATACTACATAAGCTCAAAAGCTTTTGACAAGCTCTACCGAATTGCGTATCACTTATGGGTAAGCTCCGTAGACGTAGGCGCGTTGAATCCAACAGTCGGCAAAGGTTTAACCTGTACCAACACCGCTTAAGGAACGACCTCGAGTCAGTAAAACCGTTTAGAGCTAAACATCTAAATTACGTAAGATACGAAAATCGCGCAAATTGTGAACGCCACGCGAAACAACCGTAGAGAAAAAACAGCTTATTATCACTTAAAGAGTGCCACCAAAATAAATGTGATAGCCTATGTTGGCAAGTTGATTAATTTGGTTTCCTCCCTAAATATTCTACTTATTTTACTGTTGAGCTTTGTTTCAATTTAGTTATTTTACCGCACCTATCAATCATTTCAAGATTTCGCGACCGTACCGAACAAATTCTATACTACAGAAGCTCAAAAAAAACTTTTGGTGAGCTCTACCGCATTGCGAATCACTTCTGTGTAAGCTCCGTAGAAGTAGGCGCGTTGATTCCGACAGCCGCAAAAAATTAAACATGCAACAATACCACATAAGGAAATATCGATTTTACGTAGGGTTTAAAGGGCGAACACGAAATTATTGCGACACCGAAAATGTCATGCCAATTTTCTTATAATGTTTAGAATCAAACCAAAATTTTAGGGTAGTTTTATACATATATTTACTTCAAAAATCAAAAGAAAAGTTAATCGATGGAGCCTTGAGTGTAAAATTGAACGCATTTTCGCTTGATGCCCTCCATCAAAGTCTTTACAGTGTCATCCGGTACCAGTTTCTCAGTTTTTTTTTCCATTTTCTTAACATGTCCTTCTCGTCTTTGACTGTCTTCTTGCTCTTCCGAAGTTCCCGCTTCATTGTTGCCCAGTACTGCTCCACCGGGCGCAGCTCCGGACAGTTTGGCGGATTCATGTCCTTTGGAACAAAATGGACATAATTGGCCTCATACCACTCCAGGACACTTTTAGAATAGTGGCATGATGCCAAATCTGGCCAAAATAGCGGAGCTTCGTCGTGCTGCTGCAAGAACGGCAAAAGGCGCTTCTCGAGGCACTCAGATTTGTAGATCTCACCATTTACTGTGCCCTTTGTCACGAAAGGCTCACTCCTCAGTCCGCAAGAGCAGATGGCCTGCCAAATGAGATATTTGGAGGCGAACTTCGATATTTTCTTCTTCTTAAATTTGTCATCCACATCGAACTTGCTCTTGCCGGTGAAAAACTCCAACCCCGGAATTTGCTTAAAATCGGCTTTTATATACGTTCCGTCGTCCATCACACAGCAGCCATATTTTGTCAGCATCTTCTCGTAGACCCTTCTGTGCCCGACTTTTAGCCGTCGATTGTTGCCGCTCATCGCGGTTTGGGAAGTTCTGTACCTTGTATGTATGTAGTCCAGCTCTCTTCTTTGCATTCTGGACGTAGCTCTGCGACATGCCGATCTTTTTAGCCAAATCACGGCTTGAGACGTTGGGATTTGCTTTAATCATCCGCTTCACCTTTCCCTCCGTCTTTTTGTTCTCCGGTCCCGGTTTTCTTCCAGCTCCTTTGCCGTGGTCCAACGTCAACCGCTCCTGGAACCGCTTCAACACTCTGGAGACGGTTGAATGGTGAATGTTCAACATTTTTCCCAACTGCCGGTGCGACAGGTCAGGAAATTCCAGGTGTTTGGAAAGAATTTGTTCTCTCAACTCGCGTTGGTTCACCTCCATTTTCGTTGAATCGAAAAACACGACTTCGAGTTTGACAGCATGTACACAATACACATCAATGAGAAAGTGTGCAAAATTTGGTTGATTTTTACCCAATGGTTAAAAAGTTATGCCCTGTTGAATGTGTCGCAATAATTTCGTGTTCGCCCTTTAGTTCATAGATTAACATTGACTGCTGTTTAAAAATGTAAATACTTGAACACTAAGAAATAAGTTAACTCAAATGCTTTAACCGCATATATAAGAGATTTCGCGTATTGAGAGAATAATATAGTAATCGAGTACAACAAACTCAGGGGAATGCAATACCTCCAAAAGTTTAAAAGCTATTAATTGTCACAAACCTCTACTTTTACTTATTTCCTAAACTATTCCTCTCCTTGTTAATCTGCTAAATGCTATTGGTCTGCCTGCGTTTTCTTTTTAAAGTTCAAGACTAAATAAGAAGATTTATTCTACAACTTTAAAGGTTAGTTGCCTCCCTAAGCGGACCCCCCGCATCCTCATTCTTTTGTTAATCTACTTAATGTCATTAGACTTTCTGAAGATGGATCTGGCCTCACTGGCCCTGCGTTCGGTCGTTGTTTTTTGTAGGACTGATATTAAGAAACTATTTCGTGAGTTTAAGCCGGTGTTAAATATTTTAATTTGATGGAAGTGTTAGCATTAAGTGAAATACAGTACAGGTCAACGAGTTTTAGTGAAAACGGTGTCTAAATATGGACAGGAGTCCTAATTTATGTTGCTCTGGAAAGGGAAAGTTTGAGTCAGCCATATTTTTTTTTGTCTATACTTCGGATACGTGGATCGCAGTATAATAACGGGTGTGAGTGTGTGTATTGACAGCAAAATATCTCCTGATGCCACTTCTACCGTGAGACGAAGCTTATGCTCTGGCTGTGAGGAATGTTGTCTGTCCGGAGTATTTGGACTAAATACATAATCGCAAAGGAATCAGCTAAGTATCATGTTTCAAACTAAAATATTGTCAAAAATTCTCGAGTAGCTAATACTGTGATATTGTGAATTAGGCAGATACAAAATTCGTTATGAGTGTGTGATGTTTTGTTTTGTTGGTGTGCTTGATTTTTACTATCCTTTCTCCCAACTGGAAATTCTTATTAGAAACGGTCGATCTTTGCTGGAGTGGGAAAGTGTGAGCGCCGAAATTGTGTTTCGTGGTAGTGGTAGAAGAGCTCATCTAACTGCACTGTGCGCTGTCCTGGTCGGGCGTGTTTTGCGATGGTGTGAGAGAGTAAACTTGCTCTAGTTGCTTCTTTCATACCGGCGTGAGTGCCGGCCGGCGCACAGTGTAGGAATGCTTTTCCCCTCAAGGGAGAACCGTTACGGGTTAAAGTGAAGAGCTGTGATATCTTTATTCTCGGAACCACTTCGAAACTTTACGTGAATTTTATTCTATGACTAAGAGTGTGAATGAACCCAAAATGCATGAGTGAATGTGAATGGGGCATACGTGATACCAGTATGTATTGTATAATGGTATTTTTACAGTTTGTACCGTTCTGATTCATATTACGAACACGCTCAAATTCTGAGCACTTGTGTTTTTGTATGGGACGGATTTTGAAAAATTTTCTTTTAGGATGTCCATATTACGATAAGTCTAAACTCACGACTTATACATTCTGATTTTAACGCACTGTTCGGAATTTGAATCAATACGGTAAATCGCGCGATGATCGAGACGTTTCCGTCGGATAAGATTATTTTGCGGCCGAGTGTCTAGGAAGCTATGGAAACCGAAATGGCTCTTGATTCTGTTTTATGCCCTTATAGTATAAACCACCATCGCACTTCGTGAGTTGCCCCAATAGAACCCTTGCTTTTGGTTTGAATCAGTACAAATTCGTTCTATTATATATAAAAAAAAAGAAGTATACATATTCATTTTCTTCCGAACTAAATAAACCACCATCACACTTTGTGAGTGGCCCCAACAGTATCCTTGCCGTTGGTCTAAATCGGGTCAAATCGGTTCTAATAATTATTTTATATTCAATCAAGTAAACCACCATCACACTTTGTGAGTGGCCCCAACAGCATCTTTGCTGTTGGTTTAAATCGGTTCAAACCGCTTATAATTAATTATTTTGGTCATTGATAAAATAAAATAAACCATCATCACACTTTGTGAGGGGCC